GGAGACTCCGCGGGAGCCGGAGCGCCGCAGGGCTGCAGGGCGGCCTCGCCCCGAGCAGGCCGGTGGCTCCCGAGCCGGCCAGGCTCTCGGCTGAGGACAGAGCGTGGGCTTCCTCCTCCCGCCAGGTGAGTGCCCCAAGAGAGGCGGGGTGGAGACCTGGGGCCCACTGGAGGAGACTGGGAAGTCAAAGGTTGGAGGGTGGGGGGCCCGGAACCCATCTCCCATCCAGGCTCGGGTCTCCAGAAGCACCCTGGGTCTACACACTGCCACCCCAACCACAACCCCGCCCCTGAGACAGCCAAGAGGGAGCCCCAGTCTCCTCCTTGGTTCCTTCTTTTGGTGGCCTGCGGGGTAGACCTTGAATCTGAAGGGCACGCCTGGGTTGCCAATCTGAGCATACTCCCACCCAGTGTTCAGAGAACCCTCATCCTGAAGATCTTGCCACGTTCCAAAGAAAATGTGCTGTTCTGACCCAGACCCCCACCCGCCAGAGTGGCCAAAAGGCGACAGTGATTGAAGCTCCTTTGCTTTTTAGGACAGCTGATGTTAGCTCGTTTGAGTAAATAAATTGGGAGAAGAGTATTGACCAACAAGACAGTTAAAGAAATAGGACTTAAATTTCAAAACATTCACCCAGGCTAGATGCTGCTGGGCTACTTGAAAGGCAGTCCCTGGAAAAATAACCAGCCAGCCAGTGCCACTCAGCAACTTTCAGGGGTCAATCTTGTCTTTACTCATTCAGCAAGTATTTACTGAGCACCTACTTTGTGCCAAGTGCTGTTCCAGATGTTGGGGGGGGGGCGGGGGAATGGGCTAATAAACAAAACTGTCCAGAACGATGAAAGGTCTAAGGTTTTACCCTGATGGCAAGTTAACCAGTCAGCCTGCCCCAGCTTAATAGATGCCCATAGAAGACACGAGATTCCCAGAGTAGAGACAAAGGACTTTCTTGCTGATAACACCAGCCACCATGGAATGCCAGAGCTTCATATTTGCATGGTCCCCGCCCCTCCTGCAAGCCCTTCTTGGAGGAGCAGAACCAAGAAGGTGGGTTTTGCACATAATGGGTCCCAGGTAAAGAGCCCCAATCCCAGGACGCCCCAGTCTTTGAAAGAAGCTGCCAGTAAGTAGCCCTGTGTGGAGATACTTTATTATAAACAAATCCTCCTCCTCCCTGGAGCGGACAGTACGTTTATCCTTCCAGGCTCTTTGCTATACAAAATTCCGGGGGAGGATGGTCCAGCCGTCACTCTGAAGTTAGGTGCAAACATAACAAACCATGAGTTGTCCCTTCACAAAAGCAACACAGTTCTGCTCTCCTGAAACATATCCTAATGAAAGAGTGACACAAGCTATGCAACGTCCATCGTCTGACAGATTCCGGGTGGATCGGGATAAGCTCTGAAAAATCAGACTGTCCACTGCTAACTTATGTTATGACCTCCCTTTTTTGTATAATCATAATATCAAAATATTCTGAGCAACATTCAGTTTACAACTGGATTGTCTTAGCCACACAGGCGGCTGCCTGGTTCAGGCAAGCTGCCCCAGGAGGAGAAATTCCTCTGTCTCCTGAGACAGAAGGCAAGCCCCAGGAGAAATAAGACCCCAGGACATAAAAACTCCTGGGAAGCTTCCTTGCTTTCTTTGAATAAAAATAAACTTCATATAAGGCTCCCAGGGCATAAGGACTCATGGACAAATTTTAACCTTGACTACACAGGTGTCGTTTGATATACAACTGTATAACTTTCTCTTAATTTACTCCTTTTTAAAACAAACACTAACTACTCTCTGTTAGCCTCAAATTACCCATTAGCTTTTCACTTATAACACTGCTAACACAATTTACTACTATCCCAAGACCCTTAACAACCTTTTGCTAACAAGCTCACCCTTTTCCAGACCCCTCTTCCTTTGATGATAACTAGACAGCTGTATATATGATAACTGTCACAAAAACGTATAATTTAGCATACCATAAATTGTAAACAGAAGAATGCTTTTTCCCTTGTTCTTGAGGATATTTTATGGAGATATCTCATTAACTTACCCTATGCATTATTACAATTAACTACTTGCTACACAGTATAAATAAAGACCTGCTGAAGGAAAAGCAGGAAGACCTGCATCCTATCCTGACTCCCATTTCTTCCTCGCGTCCGTTCCCCTCTCTCCCTTTTGGAATATCCACTCGCCGACGCCTTCCCATCTTAGGGTCCTGCCTGTGCTGCCTCGAAACACCCCAAAGGTTGGAGTTGGTCTCCGACAAAAGAGGAAGAAGCAAATAGCAAGCACAATCAAACAAAAGAGCAAGAAAATGTCAGAGAATAGTAAGTTCGGGAAGGCAGCACACGGGTTAAGCTAGGGAGAGGGACGTCCTGAGGACACCTTTAGTGGTCAGGTGTGTGTGTTGGAGGCTGGACAGGTTGACATCGAGCAGAGAGAAGGCCCAGGAACATCAGGGTGAGAGCCAAACAACAATACCAAAGTTTTGGTTTGATCTACTGGCATTTCCTGTGGCGTTCCTGCAGAAGAGACATGGTTTATTTTTTTCTCATAACCTCAGGTGAAAGCTTTCCTTCCTTCCAGAGGGTAGGGAGCCTGGTGTAAAGATTGTCAAGAGGCAGGCAAATGGACATACTCCACCCCACCCTGTCAGCGCCCCCCAGAGATCGTATCCGATCACGTGGCTTTTGCCTTTCTCTGCAGTCCAACACTTTGCAACTCAGTGACCGTTCCATTGAAAGGAAAGGAAAGACACTTGGGTTCTTTGAGGAAATGTTATGAGAGGCTCATACTGTGTGACATGTGAGGGACATAACTCAGAACTCAAGCACCAGCTCAATGACCATCAACATTCTGGAAAGTGCTGCTGCCTTTAAAATTTATGTCTTAAGAAAACATGCATGACACTTTGAAATGCATCGAAGTATAAGATGGATGGATGGATGACTGAATGGATAGATATATGATAACGTAAATGTAGCAAAATAGCAATTTAGTATCTCAGTGGCAGGTATACAGGAGTTAGTCATCTCCTTCCAACTTTTGAACATTTTTATAATAAAACACTAGGAGCAGGAGTAAATGCAGAGTTGCGGTCCTATTACCAAGCTGTAAGCTGGATATGTAGTCTCTAGAAATCACCAGCTTTTTTCCCTCTAAGTACGTGTGAAATGCAGTGATTTAAAAAGTATCACTAATGCCCAGGGCCTCCATGACTCCATGACTGTAGGAAGTTCTTGGCTTTAGAATTCTTTGGATCTGAGTCGGAGACGCCCAAGATGAATGAGAATAGAAGTAACACAGGTGTGGGATTAGTGTGGTTGCATTTGATGCTTACAAAACCTTTTGGGACATTATTAAGCCCATTTTACAGATGAGGACACTGAGGCATAGCGAGCGGATAAGCTGGTAAGTGGTGGGTTAGGAATACTGATAGTCAAGACCTGCTGGGTCGGGTAACTGACCCATACTCATCTCAATAGAAAGATTAAGGTTAATCTTCCTTATCAGAAGATAATTAAGTTATCAGAAGAATTCAGACCTGTGGGATTGTGTAAGCTATTGTTGGTCTGTGCTGAGCTACCTGAAGGGTTTTCTCTGATAATCAGAGTCAAGTTCACTTACCCAAGATATATCATGGTTAACACAATCATCATCAAAATGTGCAGAATTGTAACGATGATCTTGTTAAGTCCAGCTCTCCACTCCTACCTCAGCTGACCCACCTGGTCAGGTATTCCATTCACTCTAATATGATGTTACTGAGGATCAGAGGACTGCATTTTTCTTTTTATTTTAAAAAAAGATTTATTTGGGCCCTCCCTGGTGGTGCAGCAGGTTAAAGCACAGCACTAAGAAGCTTAAGCCACTTCCGCATGAGTTCGATTCCCGCCTGCCCTGGAGGAGACCACATGGCGCAGCAGACCTCTCCTGACCCACCCGTTGCTCTCCTCAGCAGTGTACTTCGTCGATCTGCCTGTTCTGCTCCCCACTCTGTCCCTCTCACCCTCCACATCTCTGGCCTGTACCCCAGTTCTGTACGAATAAATAAATAAATCTTTTTTTAAAAAAAAGATTTATTTTTTTATGCATACAAGAGCTGGGATGCAGGCCAGGTGCAGGAGCTAGGGGGGTGGGCAGTGTTGAAAGGATTCACCAGACACAGAGTGGGGAGCAGAACAGAGGTATTGACTGAAGGGAGCAGTGGGGGAGACAGGAGAGGTCTGCTGCCCCCTGTGGGTCAGCTCCCTGGTCTGGGGTCGAACTGGTGCTACAGTGGCTGCCTATAGCTTCACAGTGCTGAGACTTGACCCCCGCTCCACCAGGGAGGACCGGGACTGTACTTCTCTAACTCTAACGCAATCTTTCTGCCTTTATACAGGGCAAGCAGAGAGTATGAAAGCCTATCTAAAAAGCACAGATGGCTTTTTTGTCCTGAATAAAAGTACTACGATTGGCCGACACAAAGACTCAGACCTTGTTTTAGAGGTAAGATGCTTCCTGCCCATCCCCCACCCTCTCCAGCCCTAATCCTCTCCCAAAAGTCCTGATTGTTCTGTGGACCCCACTGCCTTTTAAAGCACACCCCCTCGTGATATGCTACCTAAATAACCATTTGCCAGAATGGAAGGACAGCCTTCCCTGGCCTGCTCAGTGAAAGGGAGCATGACGGGAATAGGGCCAATTCCCTGCCTCCGCTGCCCCTGCGTCCCTCCCCTGCAGCCTGCGGGGGTGGTCTGGGGGGTGGTCTGAAGCAGGGTCTGAAGGGTCTGTCTGGGGCAGTGGTCTTTCACCCTTTCCAGAGCCGCCAGATCATGTGTGTGGTTTCATGTAGAGCAATCAAACATAGACCCATTCCGTCATCAAGCTCTCTCCCTTGTGAGACTCCTTTATTACTGTCTCTCACACCCCTGCATCCTGAAACCACTCATCTTTTCTCTAATTCAATAATTTTTATTATTTTGAAATGTTACATGATGGAATCATACAATATGTGACCTTTTGAGATTGTTTTCCCCCACTCATCCTGGAATCCATTTAGGTAATCAGTCTGCCCCTTTAATTACTGAGTAATATTACTGACTATACCCCCATTTGTATAACCATTCACTTGTTGATACTTGCAACTTTATTTTTTCAAAGATTTATTTAGTTATGCATACAGAACTGGAGTGCAGGCCAGAGGTGCAGGTGTGGTGAGAGGCTTCACCAGAGACAGTGGGGAGCAGAGCAGGCAGACTGATGAAGCACACTGCTGAGGGGAGCAGCGGGCGGATCAGGAGAGGTCTGCTGCGCCATGTGGGTCAGCTCCGGGCCTGGGGATGGAACTGGTACTGAAGCAGCTGCATCTGGCTTGCAGTGCTGCGCTTTAACCCGTTGCACCACCAGGGAGGGCCTGATACCTGCAACTTTAACTGAACTTTCTAGAAGGATTTTTTTAGGTTTCTTGGGATTTTATACCTAAACAATCATGTCATCCATAAATAAGAACAGTTTTATTTCCCATTTTGTGACCTGAATGACTTTAATTTCCTTTTCTTGCTTTATTGCCCTGGCTAGGACTTTCAGTGCTTTGCTGATAAGAGTAATAAGAGTGATATAAATCTTTATATTTGCTTGTTTCTTTATATTTGCACCTAATCTTTCACCACTATGTATGATGTTAACTGTACAGGTTTGTAGATGTTCTCATCAAGTTGAGAAAGTTCCCACTTATTCCTAATTTTCTGAGAGAGGTTTAAAAATAACTCAAGGGGCCGCTCTGTGATTCTCATCTATGATTTGATCTCCCTAGAAGGACACAGAGAAGTCTGTTTTGTACATGAAGTAGAAAAAAGAAAAGGAATTGCAATTTCTTCTTTATCATGACAAAGATAGATTTTAGGTAGATTTACCCCCTGTCTAGCTGAAATAGAGACAGAGACCCCTGTTTTGAATCTGACTCTGATCTCAGGACACTGTAGTCATTTTTAAAAGGCCAGGCTTTGGCGATAGACAGAACTGGGTTGAAATCTCACTAGGCCATTCCCTGGCTATATGACTTCAAATAAATACTTACAAATACTCTGCATTCATTTTCCCTGTCTGTCCCCCACTCATCTCGCAGGATGATTATGCGAAGTTTCTAAGCACCTAGTACCATGGTTGTTATTATGGTTTCATAAAAAAAAGTTTGAGAAGAATCTGAGATTAGGGCTGAAATGAAGATCCATTGATATGAACAAGCAGTTTGGAAAAGGGGACTAATGAGGGAAATTATTATATGAACAGGACTTGAATTGCATTTATTATATAAAAATAATTCACTGCTCACTGCTCCTTGGACTTTATTTAAAGAGAAAGCAGCCACCACCAGCAGCAATCACACTGACTTATGAAGGCATCGGCTACATTTGCAGAAGTCTGATTTTATATTGGCTCCCCAGAGAACAGATGATACATGAACTGCCAAATGTTTTGTGAATAGGTTTTTGATGGGCACTTCTATCTTTAAGATAAATCCTCTTCCAGCACTTAAATGGATTTGGAAGAGGAGATATGCTTTCAGAAGGGCTGTGGGCACAGAGCCTGCTCTGAAAAATTGAAACCTGCAGATGTGATATCTTCCAGCTTCAAAAGATAGGAGGAGGTGAGAATTGCCTCTTTGCTGACTTCATTGGGCCTTTCTGATTAGAAGAAACACCCTTGATCAGCTCCCAGCTACCCTGAGTAATAATTCATCAGCCAATTTATAATTTATGCTATTTGTGCCACAAGAAATCATTCTACTAAATAAAGTGCAGAAATATAGAATACAAAAAAAATCACTCTTGAGATTACCCAGAGGTTAAATCTAGCAAATAAAGAAGAATGGTTTTTTTGTTGGATAAATCCTAAAAACAAGAAGTTATACGTCTAAAGAGTTTGCATGGCTACACATTGTTTTGATGGCTGAGAACATAATATTTTAATATCACTTGCTTTTGCTGATCATGGATGGTAATCACATGCCTCTTATTTTTAAAACTTGGGAGAAAGCAAAGTATAAGCAAGAAAACCAACGTCACCTGTAATCTCAGGGCTCAGGAAAAATCAATATTGACATTTGCAGGGTTTACCCTGCGGCCTGATTTTCTATACCCTGTATGGAGTTTGGTTTCCTTATGGCAAGTAGAAGTTTTAGCCAGCCTAGGCTTTACTGTTATTATACTAATTCACTCCACAGATGTTTACCTGGCGCTTTGGAGCTGAGGCAAGCCCAGGGTGTAACAATGGCAGGATCAGGCAAGGTCCCTGAAATCAGGAAGCAGTTAGAGGAGAGACATAGGTCAGAGGACCCAACAAAGGTGTGTAAGTTTCCATATCTTCATTGGAGGAAAATAATATGGAGGACAAATAGGACTTCATTGGACAAGCAGAGACCGGAGTGGCATGTGCAAAGGTCCTGGGGTAGAAGAGACTATGAGAGCTCCAGGAACTAAGAGAAAGTCAGCATGTGTAGAAGTAGGGTGGGCAAGATGGCTGAGACAAGGGGAACCCCTTCATGCCACGCAAAGGACTTTGGTGTCATCTGAAGAATAAGGAGAAGAAAGCACTGAAGGACTTTGAGCAAGGGGGAGACCCTGGCTGCCTCCTGCAAAAGGAAGCTCTCGTCTCCCAGGTGGCTAGAAGACCTCCAACTTGCTCATTTCAGAACTAAATCTTGTGTATTATAATTTGTGTGATTTTTTATGTCACTGTGAACTGTGGTTTTAGGGTTGAATGTGGTTTTAGGGTTTGAGTGTGCTGATAGAGGTTGTAATCTTCCAGAGCGGAGGAACACTGCAGGAGAATATTGTTGCGCTTTTCATAGTATAGCAGTGCCGGTTCCTGAGTCCTTACACAGAGGCACAGGAGTCAGTGAAAGAGAATGAAGAGCTGAAAAATAAATCCACAGAGCATCATCCCCACGCTCTGTGCTCTGGGGTTCAGGTGCGGGGTGGGAGGGGACGCTCAGGGAGACGGTTCCAGCGCCTCCCTCTGAGAATGCCCCCATCTCTGTCACCACCACCACCACCTTCTTGATCGTGATATAAATCTAGATTTGGGGGAACATCTACAATTCTAAATATCTGAACTTTCTTGTGGCTTAACAAGGTAGCTGACTGAGCTAGAGATATTTTTTAATAATATAAGTTTATTTTTACATCATTTTGTACATTTTTTTTTCATCTAAATTGTAATCCCGTGGGTTTCCCATCACCGCCACCACCACCTTCTTGATCGTGATATAAATCTA